TGTTTTCTGGACAGTATTTCAAAGGTAAACTTCGAAATTCTGTTTTTTTTTTATTTTTATTTAAACGAAACGTTAGTTAATGTTTTAGTTTTCTTTTTTTTTTGTAGATTTCAGTACTCCAAAGGTTCCCAAAACTTTAAAACAGTAAGTTTCGTAAGTTCGTTACGAATCTTATGTTTTTTTTTATTTTTATAAAAGAACGTTTCTAACGTTCTTATCTTTTTTTTGTAGGTTTCGGTACTCAAGATCTCTGAAACTTCAACATGGTAAGTTTTGTAACAAACTTTTCATTACGAAACTTATTTTTTTTTATTTTTATAAAAGAACGTTTCTGACGTTCTTTATTTTTTTTTTTAGATTTTTGGCTCTTCAATTCTGTCTGGACGGAATTTTGAAGGTAAAACTTTAAAATTCTATTAGTTTTTTTTTTTTATTTAATGAAACATAGATTAATATTTCATTTTTCCTTTTATTTGTAGGTTGACGGCTTCCCAGAGGCTCTGGACGGAATTTCGAAGGTAAAATTCCTTTGAAATTTTTTTTATGTTTTTTATTTAACGAAACGTTTCCTAACGTTTCTTTTTTTTTTGTAGGTCTTCGTCATTCCAGATACTTCCTGGAAAGAATTTCGAAGGTAAAACTCCAAAATTCTTCATATTTTTTTTTTGTTGCTTTTAATTTACAAAACGTTTACTAACATTTCAATTGTTTTTTTTGTAGAATTTTTGCTCTTCGACTCCTGAACAAAAGAATTTCGAAGGTATACTTTGAAAAAATGTGGGGTTTTTTTATTTTTATTTAACGAACATTAATTAATGTTCATTTTCTTTTTTATTGTAGGTCCGGGGCATTTACTTCAAAGATAAAAACCTTCAAATTTTTATATTAATTTTTATTTAACGAATGGTATTAACGTTCGTTTTATTAATTTTTTTAGGTCCCAGATGCTGAAACCAGTTCTGGACTTTACTTCGAAGGTAAACCTTTCGAAAATTTTATTTTTTTTAATATTTTTATTAACGAACGTTAACTAACGTTCGTGTTTCTTGTTTTTTAGGTAAAGGAATCTGAAAACAAGTTCCAGGCTTTCATATTGAAGGTAAGACCTTTGAAATTTTCTTTTTTTTTTATTTTTATTTAGTAAACGTTAATTAACATTCGTACTTCTTTTTTTTTTAGGCAAAGGAAGCCAAAAATGAGTTCAGGCTCCCATATTAAAGGTAAAACCTTTGAAAGTTTTTATTTCTTTAATGAATTATTTGATGAACGTTAACTAACGTTCAATTTTTTTTAGGTCTACGGCTTCTAGACAAGTTTTTGAATAAGATTTTAAAGTAATCTTTGAGGTAATTACTTTGAAATTCTTTTACCTTTTTTAAACAAACTTTATACTAATGTTCGTTTTTCTTTTTATTTTATATAGATTTTTTTTTCATTTTGCTAGTTGTTTGTTGGAATTGAACCAACTGGAACAATGTCCAAACCATTAACAACATGTAAATATGCAGTAAAGAGATGATGAATAGCAATGACTAGTAATAGATTTCAATTGTATTTGTAAACTTGTTAATATATAATAAAAAAGTAATTTTGATTATATAAATAAATTAGTAATTAATGCAATAAATTAATTTGTATTATTGTAACGCAGATTTTTACTGAAAAAAATTGCTAAGGTATTTCGAAGATTTTTTATTTAAAAATCTGCACAGAACTTTGTTATTTATAAAATCTGCGCAGTTTTTTATTGGATTTTTCTCTAATGTTTTGCGCCAGGGTATAAGATCTGTGCAGATATAATTTCTGAAAATCTGCGCAGATCTGCTTCCCAAAAAATTTCCTGATGTAAGATTCGTAAGTAAGTATGAATCTTGGTTGTATTTTTGTTTTTTTTATAATTATAGAACAGTTTACTAACCGTTCTTTTTTTTTAGGTCTTGGGTGGACTTCTAATGGATTTTGTGAGTATGAGTGAAGATGATGCAGATTATGTTATTATATGGAAAACCTATTTGTGTCAATAAAGTAAGCGGAAACATTTATTTGATAGAGAAGAAGAATCTAATTGAGAAGTTAGTTTGGTTTTATTGTTTGCTATATAGCATTAATGTTTTGTTGTATTATTATTATGCAAACCAGATAATCAACAAAAGTTAATTATCAAATCTGAAAAAGTCTCAAGTTCTATTATAGTCTTAGCAGACGAAATCAAAAAATATAAAACAGATGCTCTTATCAAATTTTTAAAGAGAGAAGAGAACTTGGAGCTTAATGACGATGACTTGAAAGGTATTCGCGAAGAAAAAGTTAATGGGTGTGACTTTCTCAAGTTAACTGAAAAAAAGCTTAAGCGGCATAAAATAAAACTGAGATCTGCATCAAGGCTTGCAGACTTCATTAAGGAGTGTAAGAAGAGAAAGAAGCGCTTATTTTTCTCGTATAAGACTCAGAAAGACTTAAAAGAGATATTAGCAAAGTATGGGATTGATGGTAATGGGATAGATGCAATCTGTCAATTTCCATCAAATGAGTCCTATCTTCTCAGTTTATTATTCACAAACTATTATGTGAGTTAATGGGCTAATTTTAATGTTTCACTTTCTAGAAACAAATACACTCAAAGATGATGATGAGGAATTGGAACAATGTATAAGGGAAATAAAATACAGGTTGGAAAATATGGGGACTATTCTTGCCGATGGCAATGAAGCCATGCAGTGCAAATATATTTTGGTTATTTTTCATACTTTGCTATATTGTCAAAAGAATAACAAATAAAGAAATTACTTTGGCTTTCCAGTTAGAAATTGTTGGTAAAGAAAATACCGGTTGAGTAGAATCATGCTTACTCATAATAAAGGTCACTATAAAAAATTAGCCTTTTACTAATAGTTTTTACCTTACTTTTTTCTTAAATTCTATTGGTTAATTAGCTAAAAAGGAAAAAAATCATAATAATGTAACATAAAATTTCCTTTTATAGTAGAATCTGCAAAGAATTTTATATATGATTTTTACCTTAGCCCTAGGGGTGACCTATCTTATAAGTAAGTGGAGTTCTGGTTGAGTCGATTATACAATCAAGGCTTTTAAGGAACTTATTTGCATTACAGAAAGGAAATTATATCAAGTGGTCATTGGCTTTGCTCAGAATCTGGTCCAATGCGAAAGTGTGTTACAAGTAAATAAAAATAAGAGAAAACGTAAGTCAGGTGATGCATTCAAAGATGACTTCAACTATATCTATCATAGAGTCGTTATAATAGCTACGGACTGGTATTTCATCCTTTATGCTTCAGACAAAATATACTGTACAAGTAAAAATCCTTTTAATATCTGATTTACTGAGTCTACTTTAAAAGAGAATTCAGAGAAATAAAAAGAGTTGTGTAAAAATGTGAAGCGAGTGATGGAAGTTATTATTAGGTTATTGAAGGATAGGGTAGATGTTGAGAAGAAACCAGTGATGTGATGAAGAAATAACGAGTTTAAGAGTATTTTGAAAGAAAAATAATCATATATATATATTAGATAGAAATTTTATGTATACGGGTTGCTTGTAATTTATTTTTGAGATGCTTTATTAATAATTTATCATTGACTCATTGTAATAAATTAATAAAAAATTTGTTTTTCATTATAGAACAATTATAATAATTCTTTATTTTTACTTCCCTTTTTCTTGTCTTTTTCTCTCTATTTTTTTTCCTTTTCTTTTCCCTTTTCCTTTTAGGTGGTTCTTTGGCTCCATTGGTCATGAAATTTTGGTAAGTCATTTTTTTTTTTTTAACTTTTTTTAATGAATTGTTTCTAAAAGTTCATTTTTTTTCTTTTTAGGTAGTTTTCTCAATCTCTTTAAAGTTTAGACTCAGATCTTAATAGGTGAAAAAATTATTTTTTACTTTTAATTTTATTTTAACGAACTTTATACTAACAGCTTGTTTTTTCTTTTATAGACAACTTGTTTTTCAGGATACTTGGATGCATGGGAATTTGGTAAGGGGGTTATTTTTTTAATTACTTTGTTTTTCTCTTTCTTTAGTCAGTTTTTTTTCTTCAAGGTCTTTGCCTTTTTGAACACGCAGGCTACAACTTCGTTTTTTAGGTATTAGTTCAGCTAGATTATTTTCAAGTTTTTGAAAATTAGTTAGTATTCTTGAATTATTTTGTGAGGCTTTTTTTGCTTTAATATTTAACGAATTACTAACAATTCTTTTTTTAGGCAATTTTTTTCCAGATATTATATCAGTGTGTAATAAAAAATGTATTTTTTCTTTAGTTTTTATATTTAAACAATTATTAATTGTTCATTTTTTTGTTTATTTTTTTCAGACGATTTTTTGAATATTTAGACATGGGATATCGGCAAGTAAAAAACAAAAAAAAAATATTTCAATTTTTTTTATATTTTAATGAACATTAACGACTTTTTTTTTCCTTTTTTAGACACATTTTTCGGGTATTTGAACATGGAATATCATGTAGGTAAAAAAGAAACAATATTTTCATTTTTTTTAATTTTAAAATACATTATTATTAATTGTTCTTTTTTTTCCTTTTTTAGACAGTCAATTCTTGATTTTTTTTGTAAACCTCAATTTCAGTACTTGGTAATTTAACATAACCTGACTTTGACTTCTTAATGAACTTGAAATTTGTGAGTATTTGTCTTCTTAAACATGAATCTCATATGCGCTAATCTACACCGTAACCCTAAATTTTTGAGATAACCCCAAATTTTTATAGCCAATAATAATGATGGTCAATCATCTGACACATTTAGCGTCACCAAAAGTTACTNACCGTAACCCTAAATTTTTGAGATAACCCCAAATTTTTATAGCCAATAATAATGATGGTCAATCATCTGACACATTTAGCGTCACCAAAAGTTACTATGCAGTATTTTTCAGATTTTCCGTTATTCATAGTACTAAAGCGATCTGTTGCACAATTTTTTAACGTCAACTTTTTTATTTTACGCGTTTTACTGTATTTCAATGTCAAATTCTAAGCAAAGACCTTATGAGCAGGAAAACTATCCTGCTTCACCTGAAATAATATATTATGATAACCGGAAATTTAACTATACTGTTATTCAAGAAGGTGTCTACCCACTAGTTGTGCAATTGAAGTTTACAGAAGCGCCTAATTATTTTCCTGTGCCTGACAATTATATTATTAAAACTACCTGGGGCCGGTCTAATAACTGTCAAACTATTCAATGTTCCATATATTATATAGAAGGTAATCCACATTACTTAATTTGTTTTGGAAATAATTTTCAGCACCAAGTTGTTTCAGTTCAATCTACATTTGATGATTCCGTTGAATTACATAATGTAAGTTTTAATTCAATTATATTTTTATTTTTTGTATAAGCTCGCAAAGAAAATGATTTAATATGTAATTATTTTATCAGATAATAACTCCAAATAAGAAAACTGCAGTTTCTGGAGTTCATCTCTATGGACTTCAATTAAAATGTATTGATAAAAATCGCAAAAGCAAACCATGGGCATTAAAACTACATGATGAATCAAGTAAAACTACACAAATCAGACATGCTAAAGGTCTTGCAAAATGTGCACAAATAAACTTTGAAAATTCAATTCAAAATTACTACAATCCCAAAGATCACGTTGTCTTAAAGACATTGGAATTTACTGTACAAAATAAGGATTATTATACAACATTTGGAGAAAAAAACCCTAATAAGTAAAAACAAAAATTGCAATCAGTGGTTCATATACAAGATGTAGAAAATGTTCTACGTGATGCATATCGCTATTTTGCAGTTATGGAATCAAAATTACCTCGGGAGTATGCTATTTCTCAAACTCATCAAGAGATTAATGCACATATGGAACAATTAATACCAATTAATTTTGTTGACTTAACTCCTACTATTACACCCGATTTTTCAGAAGAACCTGATATAACTGATCCGATAATTGTTGAGCAAGTTAGACCACTCCAATTTAATAGTTTGTTTAACGTACCCCACCCCCCTCATTTTTGAAAATTTTTTAAAAATAAACAAACATATGTTATATCACGTGACTTATAATAACATCACCGATCTGTATAATATTTAAAAGAATTTCTTTCCAGTGTATTTGAATCTACCAAAGAAAATGGTATAATTAATAAAAGTAATATATGTAAAC